TACTTCTTTTTGTGACAATCTGGTGTCTCTTTGTGTTCATATTGCACCTAATTGTGTTCATTAGTTTGTCTTTATTGTTAGCCGGTGTCTCTGTACGGTCCCTCTGCAGTTATTTTGGGCTCTTTGTCGTTATTTTTTAGCGTCTCTGTTGTTGTTATGAGTTATTTCGTCCCCAGAGCCGGTTCAGTAATACCTGCATGTTTCCACTGCCATAAACTCTGGAGGGATTTGGACTCTACTGTTTGTAGTCCTGCACACACACAGACACACAAACACGGCCGTGGATGAAGTGAGTTAACACCACGTTTAAAGATGTATTTAATGTGTGAGCGTCTCCTTCAGTCCAATCCATGAACTCTGTGGAGTTTTTAGCTTCAAATGCAGAATGTAAATGAGGGGGAGGGTTACAGCCGACGCAGCGTTGGAGGTGAGAACAGGAAGGTGTTGTCCTCAGGTTAATATTTATCCAGCGTTCCAGCAGGTGACGGATTACCGAACACAAACGCAGCCCAAACACAGAACAAGAGAGCCGGCAGAGTCAACAGTGAAAACAACTGAACAAACAGAGCAAAGACGAGCAGCACCGACAAATGTTCTGATGGTGGCATCAAAGTGTGGAGACTCTGAAACTTTGATCGACGGCACAACAGCGAACCGAGCAGCTTCACTGCTCCTCACAGGATCCAACAAGTTTCCTGGAACACGGCGACGATGAAACACAGACGGCAGACAGGGTTAAAGACTCAGGTAACGTTGAGCTTCATTCATCTCTGCTGCAGACTTTCCTGTGCTCCAGGATTTCCTTCAGGACGAATCAACGTCTGTCTCATCGAGTTAAAACCGACAAACTCCTCGTGTGCAGAACCGATTCACCTCCTCGCAAGTTTTCCCATTTTGTTGCTTTTCAACATTGAATCGAGGTCGATTTCATGTATTTTTGACAAGAATTTACAAAAAGAGATTCTTCTGTGTCAAACTGAAAACGGGTTTCTACAAATAGTTGTGAATCATTATAAACGTGAAACATGTAGAAGTGATTGCGTAACTTTTAGTAGAAGCACTTTAGCTGCAGTTACAGCGTTGATCCTGTTGGCCTCGGTCAGTTTCACCTCGTTCTTCGTTATACAACTGCTCTTTCACGTTACACATCAGGGGTGAACAGAACTTTTCAAGTCCAGACACAAATCCTCCTCAGAACTGAAGAGTTCCCAACACTCTGCTGCGTTCACGTTACCTTCCAGGTCTGCTGATGCTGCCGCCCCCGTGCCTCACAGTGTGGAGGGTGTTTGTGAGGTGTGCAGTGTTCAGTGTGAACCAAGCACAGCGCTGGCTCACATTAAAGAACTGCTGGTTTTGTTATCGTCAGACTGGACTTCAGTCCGTCTCACCTGCTTGGTTTTAATCCTTCATCACATCAAACTCTCTGCTCTTCAGCTTCAGTCTAAAACACGTAGCAGCTGTTTTAACATTTAACCCTCAGGAGATATCCAGGACATTTCTGTCCTCTCATATCCTCAAAGGGTAGTAAATTAAAACACCCCCTGAGGGCTAATATCCAGACTGGGTCTGTGCTGCAGGTTTCTGTGATTCCATTAGTGAGAAATAATATTTCAGATAAACAAATGACGCCGGTTTGACCATCCATGTGCTTGATATTGCAAATTTCTACAACTCTGACTAGTTGTGATTCCATTTGCACATCTGCAGTTTTGTTCTGTTTGGTTTTCCTCAGTTTAACAAAAAATGCAAATGACAACAAGTTAAAGATGTAGAACGACCAACACAATATATAAAACAACCAAAATGTGATTTGAACCACCAGAAAATATGCCAAACTACAAAGATGTGACATAAAATGGACAAAATTAATTTTTGAAATTACCACAAAAAGATGTGAAATGACCAAAATGTGACGCAAAGTGATCACAAAAACACAAAACAACCTAAATATGACAGGAAGTGACTAAAACTAACTGAAACCACCTCAAATATATCTCAATAAAACTACGAGGATTAAAAGGCAGAGATCACAAAACGACGTTAGCTAACAGCTGGTGGTGTTTGGTCTGAGGTGTGAGTCAAAGCTGACAGATGAAGACGGCTGAAGAAGGAAAGCAGCACTGACAGGAAACCACAGAAGAAGAGAGATGAAAGTGCAGAAGAAGAAGAAGAAGCTGGGGTAAGAGGAGGACATCAGCTCAGTGTGGAGGATGTGTCTAATTGTCTGTTTCCTGGATCATCCTGATTGATAGCTGTAACATCGATCGCGCTCCAGCTGCTCTGCTGGTTTTGTGCATCAGATCAATCAGCTGATCGATCAATGAGCTGATCGATGGCTTCGGCTCAGCTTACTGTCACTGTGTCAACGTTAGTGGAGGTGTGAGGAGCTTTCAGTCCGTGTTCGTGGTCGCCATGTGAACTGACCTCTGACCCCTCGGCTGTAACGGTAGAGGCGCCGTCCTACGTCTCCGTGGCGACCATCTCCTGATGACATCATCAGAGGGGCAGCACAGCCTGCGATGACATCATCAGAGGCCGCCGGCGTCCGTCTGCAGATTCGGGCCGACAGCTGCCGTCGGAGCAGCTCAGCGTCTCCGTCCTCCTCGGCGACCTCTGACCTGCTGTTGGAACACCAGACCCACGTCTGTGTTCAGAGGGAACCTGGAAACATCAGCGGTCCATGAACCGGTTCATCCTGTAAAAGCTCTCAAAGCACTCATCCTGGCTCCATAAAAGTTACTGCTCAGGATGCTTCTGTCTTGTTTCCCTTAAAAACACTCATAGTTCTGACTTCTAACACAGAAGGTTCCCACAAAACCAATGATCAGGTCAAAAGAAGTCGCAGTAACTACGGCATGTCTTTGTGGTGGTTTGGACTCTGTGTTAGTTCTGCATCTCCTAAAAGCTGCTTTGCATCCACTGGTAGTTGTTGTGTGTCTGTTTGAGGTTGTATTTTGTGTCTGTATGTGGTTGTTTCTCGTCTCTCTGTGCTCCATTTGTGTGCTGTTGTGGTTATGTGCCTCGTTGTGGTCGTTTTGCATCTCGTTGTTGTTGTTTTGCTTCTCGCTGCCATACTGGTTTTGTATATTTTTGAAGTTGTTCTGTGTCTATTTGTGGTCGTTCCGAGTCTCTTTAAGATCACTTTGTGTCTCTTTAGACTCATTTTGCATTTCATTGTGGTTGTTTTGAGCCTCTTTTAAGTTGTTTAGCATCTACTTGTGGTCATTTTACGTCTCTGAGTTTTTTGGCGTCTCTGTGGGCATCTCGTGTCTTCTTGGTTGTTTCACATCAAACAGAATGTGATGTGAGGAAACGTTGATGATCATCAGAGTGCGTCTTGTAATAAAGACAGCGCTTTGCTCAGGTGCTCCGAGTTGTAGATGTATGACAGACTTTGACGGAGGAAACGCCTTCCTTCAGCTACGTGATGAATTCATGTAGAAACAGCAGGTGACAACGAAACATGAGCATCAGTTATAAAACGATGTGTTTATATCTTTAGATTATTTTGGTGATATTTATTTCCTACAGATGGGAAACAGTACAGACCTTCAGCATCTGTTCCACAGCCGGGAATCGAACCAATGACTCGCTGCTCAGGATAAATGGTGGAATGTGTCTGTATTCATTTGACTAAAAGGCAACATCAGACATGAACAGAATGATCTGTTTGGGTGCAGAATTATTGATCTGCACTGAACAGATGCAGCTGCAGCAACTTCCTAACTTCATTTCATTCAGTTGTTCTGTGAAAAAGGGGTAATTTTGTCTTTTTGTTGAGGTTTTTCCGGATAATTCTCGTCATCAGCAGCTGAGATAACGAGACGACTCTCTCTAGATGTGAAGATAACGTGATGAAATGAACTGACAGCTGTTTTCAGCCTCTGCAGAATCAGAGCGTGGATTCATTTTGTCCATGAAACCACCCGTGAGACGGTGAACAGCGCAGCAGCTCTAACTGCTGACTAAACGCTCGGCTTTGAAGAGTCTCACTTAGCGCTCGTTAGCTTCAGCCTGCTTCCTGGAACTACAGCGCTTTGATGTTGAAGACTACAACTCCCAGAGGAGTCGTTGTGTTTCTGAGGTATGAACGGTGTGTTTGAGGCGACGCTGCTCCTCTGAAGCCGTCTGATCCTGACAGATCGAGACACTTCGCTGTAAAACACCTGCTGGGAAACTCTGGCGTCGCAGACACACAAACGGATTCTTTTTTCCAGTTTGTTGGAGGGCTGCAGATCCCTGAACACATGGAACTGAAACGACGACTTCATTCAGAACTAGTCTTGCTTCCATGAACTGGCTTTAAGGGAATGAACTGTGCTGGGTCGTGTCGTCAGAAGGAGGCGCTGCAGGCTACGCTAGCTAAAGTTAGCAGAGTCGAAGAAGCTGGAAACAACCCACTCAAAAAACTCTAAGAAGAAACAAACCAAGTGAGCGTGTTTTGTAAAAACTTAGGACTTTGAAAACTAGAAATGTCATTTCCATGAACTCCTTCTAAAGTATTAATACGCTGAATGGAAATGCAGCTAATGCGACGCAACGTCACTGAAACCACCATCTCTTCTGAAGCACAGGTGGTTCCGCTTTCTGAGCTCTGGATGGCGGTTCCTGAGTTCTAGCTGTTACTGGGGTTCTGGTTCTGGACTTCCAGTGGTTCTAAGAGTTCCAGCTTCTGCCGAGTTCTGGATCATGGTTCTGTTGTACTGGTTCAAGGTTACAGTGCTTCCTGAGTTCTGATTTCTGAGTTCTGGCTTCAGCTTCCAGCTTGCACTGAGTTCTGGTTTTGTCCTCCAGTGAGTTTTGGGTCTTGGTTCTGGTTGAGAGTTCCATTGGTTTCTGAGTTTTGGTTTCAGGTTCCAGCTGTTACTGAGTTTTGGACTGTGGCTCCTGAGATCGGGCTCCAGTAGTTACTGAGTTCAGGTTTCATCTTCAGTGATTCCTGAGTTCTGATTCCCAGAACCAGCTGTAACCGATGTCTGGATCGTGGTTCCCAAGTTTACACGAGGGCTCCAGCGGTTCCTGTGTTCTGGATCCAGCTCCAGTGCTTCCTGAATTATGAATCAGGGTTTCAGTCTTTAACGAGTTATGGATCACGGTTCCTGAGTTCTGGTTCCAGCTGTTACTGAGGTCTGGTTCTGGGTTCTGTGTGTTATATTTGTGCTCTTACTGACTGCAGTCTGTGCAGATCTGTGGAAACACTGAATCCGGATCGATAGCGGTTCTTTATTAGATACAGAGGTGTTTCCACGTGGATGCTGTGAGTCCGGTTAAGATTTCTGGACCTTTAACTGGCCTGCAGAACCCTTCCAGAACCAGTATGTTGCTGTGTGGGGGTAAAGTGAGGCTCTCAGATATTCAGATTAAGACATTCAGTCCTTCTCTCCCTGTTTGAATGAGCGTTATTACTGGCGTTTTCCAGTGTCAGAGCTGGTTTAAAGTGCCGAGTCTGAAGATCTGCAGCCTCATTAGAGCAACCACACACACACACACACACACACACACACGCACACACACACACACACACACACACGGTGAAAAATAGGTTACGTACAGCGAGACAGAAAAACAAAGAGAACGAGGCCACGGCGAAGCGAGCATCCTCACATCCGTACGGGATCGGTGTGTTTCTGACCTACATATGACCTGCTGAATACAAACCAGTCAACACAACGTCACACTCTCCGTCTACACACCGACACACACACAGACGACAACACAAGTGTCTAATTAACACTTTGTTCCTTCAGATTAGCTCGTTTCCCTCCACACTCTGCCCACACAGAGGCAGCAGGTTTCTACTTACTCATCACGCAGGAGGGTTTTTAAATCGGACACCTGCAGCATCAAAGCTGTTGGTACAGTAAAACCACCTGTCACACGCGTCTCATCACTTTATTACTTCGGGGAACACGGTCGGTACATCAAGTGACAAAATTATTCATTAGTTGGTGGGAGCATGTTAGTAAAAGCTGTCAAAGCTGTATTAGATGTTAGAAAATAGTGAACTGTCACCATTCTCAAAGCCAGAAACACCAAAATATTATGTTACACGATCCACAGGAACTAGGACACTCACAGATGTTTACACCTGAGGAGCTGCTTCACGATTTACAAGAATGTTTACATCAGGGCCACGAGCACACGTGGAACACTAAACCAGCTATAGTCGAGACCAACTAAACCAAGTCCAAGACCAGAACCAAGGCAGGGGGAGA